TACGGGGACCGGCCGCCACGACAGCACCCCCACGACGTCCGACGGCCGCGGCCACGTACTCAGATTTGGACTCGTCGTCTGTCGCTTTGGCCCCTTCTTCCCAACGACGAAGCAGTGGACGACCCACCACAGCCACCGGACGATACACTGGGCGATACACAGGAACGATTGGCACTACGGGAATGGCGACGACAGGGCGGACGATGGGTCGGTGCCACCCCAGCCACTCTTTGTCGTCCTTTGAATCCCCCGCCGACAGTTTGTTCGACACCGGTGTCTCAGGAGCGGCTGGGGTGGTGCTGGCTGTTGCCAACGCCGACACAAACGCAAGGGTAAACACGACAGACGAGTGCATGGTAAATCAAAAGGTGAAGTGTTTACATCCAGCCCTGCAATGTCTAATACTAGTATATGCTTGCCACTCAACGGCTACTCGCAACAATGCCAGTCAGCACTGTGATTGAAAGGTTGTGACGGTAGAAGACTACCCGGTTGTGTGTTATTTTCCGGTCGGCTGGCTTCCACTTAACCACAAAGTTCATCCAACAAGTTGCCATGTACTCGTCACGTTTGCTTGCTGTTTTGGCCTTTGCGGCGTTGGCCACTGCCGCCACCACTTCCCCTGAGAGTCGTCCCTCCTCGGTCTCTGTAGCAGACCGCACGGTGAAGGATGCCCAGGAGTGGTTGACAGTGTACCGCCCCATCATCTACCGTCCCATCATCTATCGCCCCGTGTTCAACGCCCCCCCTGCAGTCGCGTTGCCTCCAGTTATGCGACCTCGTTATGGAAACGTCGTGGTGGATCATCCAGTGGTCCGCGTCGCGACTGTGGGCGAGGGTGCCAAGGCAGCGGAACAAGGTGCAAAGGCGCAGTCGAATTAGATCGGAGACGTTATCGGAGTAGTCAGTTCGTGCTCGGCGCTAACACGAAAAACTGCACCCAGAGATGAACCAATGCTAAATCTAATGAATACTGGACTGCGACTTCTGCTCCATCACCTCCCCAGTTTGCTGCTTGATGGCAGAGCATATTAGCTTTGAAGTGGAGTTATGGTATCGATACTTGAGCTCACCGTCTTCTAGAACATTGGATTGGTCTGTGTGAGACTTGGCTCGAAATGGACACTAGCCTTTTCTACCCCCCCCCCGGAGTGGATAAAACTGTGACTTGGCTTTGCACATCGGTAAAATATATGGGGTCGATCCTCTGGGCCCTACACGTTTGTGAGAACTAAAGTTTCGTATATTCGCAAGGTCTTATGTACGCATTCCATTAGGTTTATACGGTTCTGCGGCAGTCCAAATACGCTTATGGAGTAGCCTTGGACTCGTCTTCGTAGTGACGGGGACCGGCCGCCACGACAGCACCCCCACGACGTCCGACGGCCGCGGCCACGTACTCAGATTTCGACTCGTCGTCTGTCGCTTTGGCCCCTTCTTCCCAACGACGAAGCAGTGGACGACCCACCACAGCCACCGGACGATACACTGGGCGATACACAGGAACGATTGGCACTACGGGAATGGCGACGACAGGGCGGACGATGGGTCGGTGCCACCCCAGCCACTCTTTGTCGTCCTTTGAATCCCCCGCCGACAGTTTGTTCGACACTGGTGTCTCAGGAGCGGCTGGGGTGGTGCTGGCTGTTGCCAACGCCGACACAAACGCAAGGGTAAACACGACAGACGAGTGCATGGTAAATCAAAAGGTGAAGTGTTTACATCCAGCCCTGCAATGTCTAATACTAGTATATGCTTGCCACTCAACGGCTACTCGCAACAATGCCAGTCAGCACTGTGATTGAAAGGTTGTGACGGTAGAAGACTACCCGGTTGTGTGTTATTTTCCGGTCGGCTGGCTTCCACTTAACCACAAAGTTCATCCAACAAGTTGCCATGTACTCGTCACGTTTGCTTGCTGTTTTGGCCTTTGCGGCGTTGGCCACTGCCGCCACCACTTCCCCTGAGAGTCGTCCCTCCTCGGTCTCTGTAGCAGACCGCTGTTTGCGTCTTAACTTGACGGACCTTGCGAAGATCGATCCAAATGCAAATCACAAAGTGAATTCCCCCCAGTGGCAAGTAAGGTAGTCACTTGTGCCTAACCCTAACTTAATCAGACAGCTGCTGGGCAGCCAATAATCTAACAAGCGAATAGGATCACACCCAGGATATCCAACCTAATCGAACACTTGGATACCTTCTTGGGAGGTGTTCAGGGGTTCCGCGAATGGTAAATTCGCAACAATCCCCCCCAACGATTGTGTCACGCCCAACGCAGCTGCCATCGCCTTGACTTGGGGATCGGTCTTGTTTGAGCGCACGTAGCGCTTGAACTCAGTTGGAATGTCTTCCAACAAATTGGCCGCCGGCTCCCATGAGGCTTCAATTTCTTGTAAGTTGTAAACCCCATAACTAGTTAAAAGCTTTAGCTCCTTGAAACTTCTCGACCTTGGTTTGGTCTCACAGTATAAAATTTTAGATATAATTACATGTTAACTGTAAACGATACAAGTGACATTACGAGTGCATACTGGTAGTAGTATTGAAATTGGGAATCGAACTCACGACCTGACGCGCCACTGCCCGCGCCATTTCGACGTCAGGGCCCAACACGCTTTCGATATCAAAGTAGCGTTCGATGCTGTCGAGAACCCCACCGCCACCTTCGCCGATGGTCGGCAACATATGCGTCAGCTTTCGTCGGTTTGCCAGAGCTTTAGAGCCCGGCAATTGGATGACTGTAGCTGAACTCGTGAGTAGCGTCCGAATGATCTCGAAAGCTTGTCCTGGGTTGGTGATAGGCCATTTCACGAAAACATGTAGTTTCTCCGTGCCTTCTCCTGTGACTTCCGAGAGCCAGAAGAAGTGCCAATGGTCGTTCAGGTCTGTCAAGAGGGCCACCACTGGATCTGTGGTAAGCAGGTCCAACGCGGTGAGCTCCGTCAAGGCCTGGAACATGGAGTCTGATTGAATAGACTTCTTCACTTCGACCACCATCCTTGCTCCAGGTAACACCCTTAAATCGTCAGCGTTACCCCTCAAGACTTCGTCACTGAGAATGACCAGGTCCGTACGTCCAGCGAGGTGGATATCAAGATGGGGAATGTAAGCGGTGAGGAGGTCGGGGGCATTTTCAACCCCAACCACACAAAGCTTCTCTTGCGCGAGCACATTGCCAATGCCGGTTTCCATATACTCGCGGTATCGAGCTCGTTGCTGGCTCTCGGTTAGCGCAATGGTTTGACCAGCAACGTCGACGGTTTCCCAGTGGAAAGCATCAACCGTAAAGCGGTCTTCATCAGGGTATGGGGTCGCGGACCAGTATTTCACCCACATGTTCATGTTTTGCAGAAATTCGACGCCGTTTTCGGAGTTCATTTGAGAATGGACATATCTCTTCTGCTTGGTCTCCACCATTTGCTCTTGAGCTGGCGCGGCCAACTGCGTCGTCGACGACTTCTCGTTCGCGACAGCAACAGTCACCAACACGTGAACTTCGCCTTCGTTCGGTTGAAACCTCGTTCCAAAGTGCATTGCATTGTCGATGCGCGACAATGGATCCATCGTGTCGAAGCCTTTCAGGTCGTCGAGCGTCAAAGCTTTGGCGCCAGCGAGGTTCAACCACGCACCTTCCTTGAACGCAAGGTACAGATCCAGGTCCTTAGAATCGCAGGTAATTGTGTTGACGTTCTTCTCCTTGATCTTGTCGTTGATGTTGAATAGGCAGGGGGGTGGGGGCAGGGGGTAGAACACGCACACAAAGGTAGAGCTCAGTTCGAGGTAAAACCAGGAATGAAAGCCAAGGCTACATCATTCCAAACCCCTCACATCCTTGCCCAGCAGCACACACAACCACACAAAACATAAGCTATGAAGACCTTACATAAGCCTTGGTCTTCATATCGCATAACACTGCCTCAATGTTCCTACCACCATACATTCC